TCGATTCGAGAGGTACTTCAGAAGTGCCAATGCCCGAAAGAGTAATATTCATCACTGCCGTTGCCACCTGTTCTTCCCAGCTCTGAAAGTAAATAATACTTATTACACATTTTAACATATCAACAGCCACTTGCTAAATACCTGCTCATCGTAAGAATACGGTATGCAAGACCGAAGAACAGTAAGTGCGTCGTTGGAAAGGTCAAAGTTTATTTTCAGCAGCTCGAACAACAGCAGCAAACAGCAAACTGCGTCGTTATACACCTTTCTCAATTTTCGGTCAAATTCAGCCTGGTCGTCACTGAGTGACAACATCTGAAAGAGCTGCTACAATAACAATGCGCAAATTTAAGGGGATTCTTTACCATTCCATGAGTCATCGATAAAAGCCTCTCGATTCTGTCCAAGGTGTTTGGGCTAAAGGATTTCATCCGGATGAGGAACTGGCGCTCAACGACGCGGTACTGAGATGCGACCTTATTGAGCTTTGCTGACAACTCCTTGCCCTCGTCTTCTAGCTGAAAACCGATATTAAATCCCGCTATTTTGCTGACTAACATATTCCATTTCTTTTCGCTACGAAAAAATCGAGACATAATCGAGAACCTAGTAGACACTTGAGCAGACATGGTGGGGCATGTGTGCCTACAATTTTTAACAATTCTGCATTTGGAAAATTTTATTATAATTAAATTTTGTAGAAAGGATGAAGATTGTATCTCACTTTAAAATTAATCATTAAGTTAAAGAATACTGTGTCGACTCCTGCGTAGTCCTGATCAGGATTATTATCACTCCCATCACCAATACCGTCTTCATCATGACTCTTTCAAAACAGCTATCACCTTTATCAACACTACCTCTTCACAACTCACTTCTGAATGAAAGTCTCCATAACTGCTTCACATTATCAATGAGATCCATACCTCTGTACTGCGATGTTAACCAGACCACATGAACTACGGTCTTAGTAGCGAAAGGTGGCTTCATTACTGATGGCTGGAAGAACTAATGCGTCAGTTGTCGTTTGACGGTATAGCTGACTATTTTCTTGCTCTGAGGTAGAAGAAAAGTCTAAATAGGGTACGGTTTCATGGTATTTTATACGAATGAACGTGCACCAAAGCATAGCAGCACTATGTTTGATGCAACCTCACCAAAGAGCCAACGGAAAATTGCGCCCCATCAAGTACAGTTATGTCTAGTGCAGTATATTTTATAAAATATATGATACCGCCCAGAGTTGTACTCTTTCCTTACTGGCAGGGGCTGAAATTAATTCGCGCTTGAGCAGATCACACTCACAATCTGCGGTTTTTGCTGAGTCGTCGGCAAGCCGTAGGCGGAACCTAGGCCATGACGTAAATTAAGATCCGCAGACCGTGCAAGGCTAAGATATAAGGGTAGGCAAAGCGATTATGCCATGAAGCCCGCGTATATCATCAGCTTGGAATGAACTACGAATCAGTCCTAGTCCGTATCTGCGTCGATTAAATGTCGCGATGAATCATCACGTACGTGGTATTTTAGTTCGTTCGATCATTTCTGATCCACACATCAATCCAAAGCAACTACAGTAAGATTTGCCTCAACAGCAGCGGATTTTAGATTTTAGTCTTTCAATGAAGTCGCACAAGCTGTAAAATACTTAAAAGTCACAAGGCTTTTGGAATCAGTGAAATCTGCCCTGAAATGCTTAAAGCATTAGGCGAATGCGGCATGTTGTAGTTTACATGCTTGCTTCTTCCAAGAAAAATGACTACGGGGAAGACAAAAGTGGACTGGAGAACGGGGACTGAAGTAGGCCTGTTCAAGAAGGGAGACCACAAGGAGTGCTTCAATTATCGCGGCATTGTCTTATTGAGCCTT